ATAACATGTTTTCCATGTGCTGCCAGACTGTGCCAGCATGCCAGAGGGCTCGAGGTGCTCATCCTCTGCTTCAGCTAAAGTTAGTGGAGTGCAAGTTGTATTGTGATGTTACAGTCTCTGTAGCAAGACTGGAGGAAAGAGCCTTATTGTTCCTAAAAAGAATTAATTTCTCAAAATCTGGGGGTTTTGAAGTTTTTCCTGTCTTAAGTGGAAAAAGAAAAATATAGATATTATTATTTAAAGCCAACACTTTTTAGCTTGCATTCATAGCCAGGATGCAATCCATAGAAAATGTGGTTTAAAAGACCAATTATTAAAATAATTTTAGAAAGCTGAAGAAACAGAGGAGGTAAGGAACAGCTACTGAACTGTGTTAACTCTATTGTCCTCTTAAATTATATCGAGCTTTTTCATAATTTCAGTTTAGCGTTGCTATTTTTAACAGGGAAAAATACATTCAAATTACTTTAACAGATTAGAGAAAAAAAAGTGTGTTTTTTCTTAATTATCCGAACTTTGTTCATATCCATAGCCCATTAAGAGAGCAACAGTACTTCTGATATTTCTTTGACAAATGCTGTATTGAACAATACAAAAAGGAAATAAATAATTCAGAATTACAGAGTGTTGTTCATCAGCTGAGTCTGTTTGCAGTTACATTGGATCGGACACAGAATAACACAATATTTTTTTAATCAAAAGACTTGGGTGATCAAAGTATCGAGAACACTGCAAGAGATCATTCCTCTCAGTTTATTAAAAAATAAAAGTCCAGTTGAGGACTTAGCTTACTTATAAAGGTTTGCATTATTTTCCAAGTATATCTGTACAATTTTATTTTCTGTATGAAGAATATTGCAGTGCCTCTGTGACCTCTCTGTGAGATTTAAAAATAAAACAATATCAAAAACTAGATTAAGAAGGCAGGGAAGCATTGGTGAGATTGGGTTCAATAGGGTCTGCTCTTTTTCCATAGGTTCAGACAGAACAAAATAACTGTTATCTTTGGAAGGAAATTAGATTATTCAAGGACTGGATGAACAGTGGCTAACATATAATATTACAATATTTCAGAAAGAATATGCCTTTTGCAATTTTGCTACTTTTTAAAATATGCATTATACTTAAACTGGGTATTATGTAGAGCTCTGAGAAGGTTCAGTTCCCCATTTCAGTACTTAGTTTTTTTTTGGTGTACATCTGTGAGAATATTTAACAGTGAATTTTCATTAACTGGATACAGTTGGAAATAAAGAAATATTTACCATAGTTGTTTTTTTAAAATCTCATTCCACTTCAGTGTTTGCAGTTTATGAACTCTCATTTTTCCAAAACAATTTACCTTTCTCTGAAATTCTAAATCCTAAGGAGCTGATTTTTTTCTGCTAGATTTCATCCTGTTTCCTTGTAACAGCAAAGATTTCCGGTACCTCCAAAATATTCCTTAAAATATTTTCTAAGGATGACCTCTGAGTTTGTGTCATACTAGATTTAAGTAGCTCTCCTCTTAGGCCATAAAAATTAATTAAAGTAAGCAAATCTGTTTGGTTTTTAGTGACATGCAACTTAATGTATGTTACCTAGAGTAGTTTTATATGTGTCTCTCTGACTATAAATATTTCCTTAAAAACATACTTTTAATCTTCCCTTCCTCGGTCTAAGGGAAAGTCATATGTCCTGCTTGCTTGGAAGTTAAGGTAGTAAAGGCTTCCTGTGGGGCAAAGGCACTCAACATGGACTTTCAAAGCTGAAGTCCTGTCCCAGAGACCATGAGAGGCTTGTACCTGCAAAGCAGGGATGAGAGAGCAGGAGAAGCAGTCTTTTCTTCCAGATAACACTCCTGGAACATCTATCCAGAAAACTCAGTAGTCAACCTGGAAATAGTTGCTGGAATCCAGTGCTCTGTCCTAGTACTTTTCTATGGACTTCTCCAGTAAGAACCTAATGGAAAACCGCTCAGACTATTCACTGAGTCCTCATAGAGGTATAATAAACGTTGTTTATTTCCATCTTTAGCACACTTTTATGGCATCCTACAGGGTTTGCAGGCTTAACAAGCTGCTATTGGTTAGTACATATTGTTTTACATTCTTTTCTAAGTACACAATGCCATTGTTTCTTTATTCTTGCTGTTCCAGGAGAGTTTCAAGGACACTGCCTTTAATATTGTTACCTGGACTGAAAGCTGGTTTGTGCAGACAGGCTTTTGTTCAAATATCATGCCCTTGTTCTGCTAAAATATTCTCTACAAGAACCCAGATCACAGCACAGTATTTTGGAACAGAAGCTTTTCAGAGAGACTTCTAGGCTCTGGATCAGAACACATGGAAGTACCTGTGCTGTGACAGTGCCTGATATGGTGTAGGTGCCTTCTGTCTAGTGCTCAGGGGTTTTGGATCCTCCTTGTGAGAAAATTTTGCAGTCTGGCTCTTAGAATCTGTTCTAAAAATGGGGCATTTTATTTTCTTTGATTTTACTCATTTGATGTATGTGTTAAATCACTGAGCTCCTCTGCAGGTTGTTCAAAACCTAAAGTAATTACTTGACCATATATCTAAGGTAAAAAAAGTGTGGGGCTTTTTTCAAAATGGGGTGTCGTGGTTTTAAACCAGTAACTAACAAAAAAATTACTTATTTCTTGCTGTGAGATATGGATTAGAACAAGAGCAATAAAGAAAGTTTATTGACAAACTACAATAATAAGAACACCAGAATAAACTTCCAGAAAAACCTTTTCATCTCTTATCTACCCACTATTCCCTTGTTCACATGACAACAGAGACAAAAACTTTGCAACTTTGGTGGTTAAAACAGTCCAAATTCCTGCTACAGTCTTTTCACCAGTCTCTGTAGAGAAACAGAAGTTTCTTCCAGTTAATTTATGGAGTTTCTCACAAGAAAACTATTTTAGTTATAGTTTTCCATTGCTCTGATGTTAGTTTCCCTGAACTGCTGTTATCAGAGCTCACTTCTCTCATTTCACATCACTCTGAAGTGTGTATGGGCCATCAGTCTAGGGATGGCATTTCAAGGATAAGTAATTCAAAAGCAAAAAAGTCTTCTTCATCTGTTTCTGTGAGCTTCACCAGAAAACAGTTTTCTCATTGTCCCCCAAGGCTTCAAATTTTCGCTTCACTGTTTCCAGCACTTCACTATATCACAATCACTCTACTTTTTACTCGAAATTTTCACTTTGAACACTCTATTCCTCCCTATATATGGTCATGAACTAAAGGAGTTCTTTCAGGACTTTATTGTCCATCTCCATAGCTTTAACAGAAAAATATTTCAGCTTAATTAAAGCATCTTCTTAATTCTCTACCTTTCTTGAAGCTTCTTTTCTTTCTTGTCACTGGTAGTTTATAAAGTCTCTTTTCATGCTGATCACTCTCTTTTTCCTTTTCTGGATAAAAAAAGATTAATCTGCAAGTCTCATCTGAGAAATGAAAAGTTTAAAATCTTGCCCAGGCTTTGTAGATGGTTCTGTGATTTCTGCCGGTGCAGGAGCTGGAGCCGTCTGCGATAGAAAATTCCTCATGGCTGCTCTGGAGAGTGTAGTCGCCGCCCCAGCCCGCTGCAGGTCCAGAGCCTCTCTCCTTCTTCACTCAGCAGTCTCTAGTAAATTTAGTCACAGCAAAACCTGCAGCCGAGCCAGAGATCGACCCGGCCCAGTGTCATGGTTTTAAACCAATAGCTAAGAAAATTACTTATTTCTTGCTGTGAGATATGGATTAGAACAAGAGCAAAACAGGCATAAAACTTAAAAGGAAAAAAAAGGAAAGTTTATTGACAAACTACAATAATAAGAACACCAGAATAAACTTCCAGAAAAAGCTTTTCATCCCCTATCTACCCACTATTCCCTTGTTCACATGACAACAGAGACAAAAACTTTGGAACTTTGATGGTTAAAACAGTCCCAATTCTTGCCACAGTCTTTTCACCAGTCTTTGTAGAGAAACAGAAGTTTCTTCCTGTTAATTTATGGAGTTTCTCACAAGAAAACTATTTTAGTTATAGTTTTCCATTGCCCTAATGTTAGCTGCCCAGAGCTGCTATTATTAGAGTTCACTCCTCCCATTTTCACATCACTCTGAAGTGTGTATGGGCCATGAGTCTAGAGATAGCATTTTTAAGGATAAGTTATTCAAAGGCAAAAAAGTCTTCTTCATCTGTCTCTGTAAGCTTCACTAGAAAACAGTTTTCTCATTGCCTCTCAAGGCTTCAAATCTCCCAGCACTTCACTGTACCATATTTACTCTACTTTTTACTCAAATTTACACTTTGAACACTTTATTCCTCCCTGGATACTGTATCATGAATTAAAGGAGTTCTTTTCAGGACTTCATTGTCCATCTCCATAGTTTTGACAGAAAGATATTTCAGCTTAATTAAAGCATCTTCTTAATTCTCTACCTTTCCTGAAGCTTCTTTTCTTTCCTGTCACTGGTAGTTTATAAAGTCTCTTTTCATGTTGCTCACTCTCTCTCTCTCTGGATAAAAAGATTAATCCGCAAGTCTCGTCTGGGTAATGAAAGAGTTAAAATCTTGCCCAGGCTTTTGTAGATGGTTCGGAGATCTCTGCTGAACAGGAGCTGGAGCCGTCTGCGATGGAAGGTTCTTCATAGCTGCTCTGGAGAGTGTGGCTGTCTCTGCTTGCTGCAGGTCCTGAGCCTCTCTCCTTCTTCACTGAGCAGTTTCTAGTGAATGTAGTTACAGCAAAACCTGCAGCCGAGCCAGAGATCGGCTCGGCCCGGCCCGGCCCGAGGAAAACCTTCCCCAGGCCCCCCCATCTCCCGGCCGGGAGACGGGGCAGGCCCGGCCCCATCCCCGCCCGGGCCGCATGGCCTGGGCAGGGACGGGAGGCCTGGAGCTCCGCCACCCTCCACAGCCAGAAAACAAAGAGAACCCAAGTGCCCTGACTTTACATCTTAAAGTAGGGTTCACAAGTTGATCTCCCTTTTCAATGGTTAAAATTGCTGTCAATCCCCTGTAATGACCAATAATTGGTCAGGAGAAGAGAGTCCTTTCAGTCCCCAGCAACTTTAACTTCCTTAGCTCTCACAACTACCTTAAAGGTAAAGTCTCCTCATGACATGGGAAATTTGTTTTAGTTAAATATCAGTGTTCAGTTGCAATACCTGACTACAACATGAGATCCTTGAACACTGCAAATACCCTGCAGATAGAGCAAGGGGGTACCATTTTTGAGCAAGTGTTCGTGATGATGTTGCTGAAATATGTTGTTTTATTTTAAAATACATACTTTGGAAAGGCCTGCCAGAATGAGTAAATGCTTGAGAAACTCAAGCTATGAAGTTGACCCAAAGTGAATATTGAAGTAATGTGTGCTAGTTTGAAAGAAAACCAGCAGGAGGAATCAACTCCACACAAATATCTTGCAAGATATTCCAAGTCAGAACTACAATTTAATAGGAAAACTTACAATAAAGAGAAACACTGGCTTAAACTGACAAAGTCATGATATGACCTAACACCCTGTTGGTCAGAGTGGTGGCAGCAGTCTGAATGGAGTGATGGATGTGGTCTTGTTGAAGCAGTGATCCTATAGAAAGGTCTGGTCCTTCTCTGGAGGTACATTGGTGGTTAATGAGAGCTCTTGTCCTCTTGGAATTCAGTGGTGGTATCATGGTGTCTCCAGCCCCAGATTATATGGAATGTTTGGTTCCTCCCCCAGGGTGGGGTATTTCACACTAGGATGATGTACTTCTATGAGTCATGCTGGGGAGTCCTTGATGGCTCATTGGCAGAGATGGCCTTCCAGTGTGGCTGCTGCTTCCCCAGAGGGAGTTATCATGGTTGAGTCATGAAAAAAATAAAGTACACTGCTCCACCCATTTTAACAGCTCATGTAGGTGGTAGTAGAATACATACTTTTGATTACACCTTACATGGTAACACAAGACATAATGCAATCATGGCCTCACATCCGTGTACACAGGTAAGACTTCTGATAACAGAGGCTTGTTAGATAATAGCAGAAGGTGATTGGGAGCGATATCCAGATAACTGGACTGACAGTAAGACACATCTTTTTATCAATGGGAATAATAAGAGAATCACAGAATCACTGAGACTGAGAAAGCCCTCCCAGCCCATGGAGTCCAAGCTGTGCCTGATCCCCACCTTGTCCCCAGCCCAGAGCACTGAGTGCCACGTCCAGCCCTTCCCTGGACACCTCCAGGCATGGGGACTCCAAAGCTCCCTGGGCAGCCCCTGCCAAGGCCTGAGCTCCCTTGCCATGGAGAAATTCCTCCTGGTGTCCAACCTGAGCCTCCCCTGGCACAGCTTGAGGCCGTTTCCCCTTGTCCTGTCCCTGTTCCCTGGCAGCAGAGCCCGACCCCCCCTGGCTGTCCCCTCCTGTCAGGGAGTTGTGCAGAGCCAGAAGGTTCCCCTGAGCCTCCTTTGCTCCAGGCTGAGCCCCTTTCCCAGCTCCCTCAGCTGCTCCTGGGGCTCCAGCCCCTTCCCCAGCTCCGTTCCCTTCCCTGGACACGCTCCAGCCCCTCCAGGGCTCTCAGGGCCCAGAACTGGACCCAGCCCTGGAGGTCCCTCAGCAGGGCCAGCCCAGGCACCCCTGTCCCCCCTGTGCTCCTGTCCAGCAGCTGGCACAGCACCCCCAGGGCCTCTCCTGACGGGCCCTTTCCAGCCCCTCTGCCCCAGCCTGGAGCTGCAGGGCTTGGGGTGACCCCATGGCAGCACTTGGCCTTGCTGAATCAGTAGTTGCAGTTTACCTGAGAAATTAGGATGGTTCTCCACCATGTGGAGTCTTTCAATCAAATGTGGATTTCTCTCTAGGAACAGCCATTGTTCAACAGCAAGTTGTGGATTTGATGAGCAATAAAATTGGCTTGTTTTAGACAGCACTTGACACTAAATGATTACAATTGTCTCTTTTGGAAAGAAGATAAAAATTTGATTTATTAAAATTCAATTTTTTTTCTACAGGGAGAGTGTTTTTTGGCTTTCATGGCATTTTGCAGTGTTGTTTTCCACAGAAAGAACAAAATTTTCAAGAATATGTAATGAATGTTCACTTCTTTAAGGATAGGATTCCCTTCTACTGTATTTGAAGGTGTTTTATTTTCTCTTCTGCATTTCTAACTTCAATTTGTTCTTTTACATTTATTGCTTAGCTTCATCCCAGAATTTCCTGTCACAAGTCTTTCTCTTAGCAGTTCTTGGAAAGTTTGGTTTATTAAGAATTGGTCTCTGCCCACTCTGTGTATTGAGACAGTACCTATTCAAAAGCTTGGATGTCTTTCTGAGGATCAGAGTATAATTTTACTTATGTTAGCTTCGGGGTGATTAGAAGCCATCCTGCCAATGATTTTAATAGTAGGAAGGAGTAGGCTGAAATCACGAGGTATCCTTCTTTAGAGTAGCGCTTTACACAGCATTTGGTTGAGCAGCCATGTGGACTTTAGGATATAATAAACTACTAACAAACACTCCATCACTGGAGAACACAAAGCAACTGAAGTAAGAGAAAAATAAATGTCGTATATGTATTTGGGGGAAAGATTATATATTTTTAGCAGATAATTTTTTTCTTTGTGGTTTACCTTGTTTTCAGTTTTAAGTGAGCTCTGTGCCACTTCCATGCTTAGGCTTGTGCAACATCTAACTAAGCCTGTGATATCCTTAAAGACTGGCAACTGCAAGGCAATACTTTACTTGCTCGCACAAACAACTCATTGTCAAATGTAACTTATTTTGATTTTGTTTTCCTTTACTAGCAATCGCACTCCTGTTTTGGCTTCATTAAGCAGCATTATCCCTTGTCGACTTGTGCTTCAGCATAGGAACCATTGTGTTGGACATTATTACTTCCATGAATTCTGTGTCAGCATCTGCAGGTTCAGAAACGTGTTCTAACAGGGCAGTAGCCCTTACTACCATAACATGGTCATGTGCCGCCCTGTAAGTGAAGAGTACTTCTTCTCAGAAGGTGGGAAGGTCATTTCCCTTCTACCATCCTGCTGCAGTTCTGCTGAAAAGGAATTCTCTGTATTTAGTTATGGAACCTCCTCAAGTATCTCTGGGAAAATTGTGGAGCAGATAAAATCTCTCAACAGCTGTATTTCTGCATCAGCATTAACAAGTGGTACAGAGAAGTCATTGTCCGTATTCAGTGTTAAAAGCAAAGCTGTTTCCTGGCTCAGGTAAGTATCCCCAGAGATTGGGATTCCTTATTTCTGGGCTCTCACCTCATGGAGGCTGCAGGGGGAGGGGTGCACAGGGCCTTTGTGAGAATGCAGCAGCCTGTTGTGTGATGTGATGCACACTTGTTAATTGGTTCCTTGTCACATGCCCTGAGTGTGATCATGTGAGGGATTAATGCCCAGATGTGCACTGGGTGTGGATGTGTGGCTCTGGAGGACCTTCAGAGGTCAGCTGAGTACACACCATTTGTGTTGTGTTTATGGGTACCAACCTCCTTTGCATACTAAAGGAAGCAACCAAATATAATTGCATAAATAAGTGAAGATAGGAGCTTCCTGGAGTGCTTGAGGAAGTTGCTGCATCTGGCAATGCCTGCTGAGAGGGAGGGCTGAATAGTAATGAAGGAAATGGATTCAAAATGCTTCCTGATAGGAATGTCTGTGAGTGAAATGCTGACAGCAGACATGTGCATGGAGTCACTTCTGATGCTAAGGAGAGCTGCAGGCAGGCATCTGAGGCCAGAGCTGAGTCAATATTTCTCCTCGTGGTGTCTGTGTGAACTTGTCACACTGTTGATCCCATTAACCCTTTGGCCAGATGATTGCAGAAATACTGTCAATGCCTGACAGCAGGCAGGCTTTGAATCATATATACACAGTTAGCTCTTGGACTAGTATCCTCTCCAATTTATTTGCTGCTACTTCAAGAGTTTCTATCTGTTTTAAAATCAGGCCTGAGTTATATTGCTACTGGGAGATATATCATGGCTTACCTGTTCTGTGGCTCCATGTTTTCTTTCACTTATGGCTTACCTTAATCATTAAGCTTCAGTAATATGCAAGTCACCATTTTTGCTTCATTTTCATTAAACTTGTGCCCATGTTATAAAATAAGGTGGAAATTTTCTGCTAAGGCAGATGCTAGGCAGAGTCACTTACTGTACTGTACTGTACTTATTTAGAATGAAACTGCAACCTCGTTAATCATAGCATTAATTTTCTTTCTGCCAGCTACAACATGTAATGAGTAATCCATCATCTGCTTTTCAGGCACAGCCCTTGTATGGCTGATTTGTAAATGCTCAGGCGAAGTTCCAGAGCAAGAGAACATCAGTGAGCTCTTGCCANGAAGGAGGAGGAGGAGGAGGAGGACAAGGATGAGGAGGACGAAGAGTAGGAGGAGGAGGAGGTGGAGTAGAGGAGGTGGTAGAGGAGGAGGAGGAGGACGAGGGCCAGGAGGTGAAGGACGAAGAGGAGTACAAGGAGGAGAAGTGGGAGGATGTCGAGGAGGTCGAGGAGGTGGAAGAGGACGAGGAGGATGAGGAGGAAGAGGAGAAGGAGGAGGAGGAGGAGGAGGAGGAGGAGGAGGGGGACCAGGAGGAGGGGGAGGTGGAGGACGACGAGCAGGGGGCGGAGGAGGAGGACGAAGATGAGGACGAGGAGGAGGACGAGCAGGGGGCAGAGGAGGAGGACGAGGAGGAGGACGAGCAAGAGGAGGAGGAGGAGGAGGAGGACGAAGAGGAGGACTAGGAGGAGGACGAGGACGAGGACGAGGATGAGGACGAGGACGAGGAGGAGGAGGAGGAGGATTTCCGCAGCGACGGAAAGCCTGGTGCAGTGCGACTCCTCTAGACACAGCCTTGAGAAAGGCTGGCCCGAAGCGCATGTGGGCAGCTTCGAGCAGTTGAGTGATTCCAGGTCAGCTCAGTAATTATAGAGTGATTTCAGCTCAGCTCAGGGCAACTCGGCTCAGCGGCGGCGGGCAGGCGACACAGGAAGCAGGGACGAGAATGCTGGTCCAGCGTTCCACCGAGGCACAAGCCTTTATTCAGGCAGAGCTTCGGCAAAGGGTACCGGCAACAGCGAATCCACTCGAACTGGGGAAAGGCCGGAGTATTTATGGGGAAGGAGAGGTGCTGGGGGGGGAGCCCGAGATACCTGTACTGGGGTTGGACAGCAGGGGAGAACACCAGTGAAACACAACAGTTTAACATATCTGACTCAAAGAGCCCTGGGAGCGACACACTGTGTCTGTCTTACAGAGAAGTGTCTCCTCCCCACGGGAGAGCCAGGATCTCGGGCCCAGTGGGCTCCTCCGCACCCACAACTCCCCCTTCTTTACTTTTTAAAAAGGCATCTCCTAGAGAGTTAGCTGATAGCTTCCTAAAATATGAAAACATACTTAGGAAGATAATAACAATCAAGAAAACTCAAAAAATGTTCTTGAGGATGGAGGCAACCCATCTCTCGAGTCCCCAGCTCACAAAAAGGTCTTCAAGCCACTGGGGCTCTT